TGATGATAATATTTATTTTCCTTGTGCTAGAACATTGTGTTCATTGGCGAGCGAGCGCAGCGAGCCATGGTTCACGCTGTGAACCACATAGGATTGCGTAGCAATTCTCGGGGGTTGGCGAGCGTTAGCGAGAAGGGGGCGGTGCCTCCTAGTTCTCTTTTATTATTTAAAATTCAATTTATAAAGTTTTTATAGTCGTTTCACCATTTATAATACTTGTGAAATGCTTAAATCATTAAGGATGTCATTTGTTAATGTAGACAAAAATACTTTTTTCAAAGTAAATTACGATATATTTTAATTTCTCTCCATTTTTTATTGTTTTTAAATTTATTTCAATGTTGAATAAAATACATATCTATATGAATGGGATGTACCATTGCTTCTTTTAAATTCGAGAATAAATTGCGAAAACCGTTGTTAATGTAGATTTCGGTCTTGTGGATATTCACAGAATGATTTTTTGCTACATGCGCAGCGCCAAAGAAGAAAATTATCGAACACAAAAAGCAAAAAAAAAAAAAGAAAACCATAGAGAGGATGGAAAAATAATAAAGGGCGAAGATATTTGCTAAATTTTGCAAGTACAACTTATTTCTAAAGTTATTTTACCTGAGTTTTAAGAACATATTTTTGCAAGATTAACTTTTTTACATAAATATTTTACTTGATTTTAAAGAAAATACTGCACTTTAGGGTTCGCCGGACGGCTAATTTATAATCACCTTTAACTACTCTTTTTTTTTTTTAGATTTTCTTCTTAGCTATAATGGGTCACTATTACAAGGTAAGCTTTTGTTTCCTTAAAAATTTGTTACCTGAACTGAAAAAAAAAGTTAGGAATCAAGTTTTTTATGTATTTTATTTTACTTATATATTTAAGAAAGTGTTAGACAAGAGAGCGGGTCGTTGAAGATAGGCCGCTTGATGGGAAAATCGCAGTCGGTGCAAAAAATTCTACATTTTTTTTCAACTTTATTTTCTTATGAACGTTCATTTTATTCAGTGTTTAAAAAATACATAAAACAATAAATGGTGGAGGCCTGCACTTTATGGCAACTTTTCGCTCGCTAACGGCATACCGAAAATACTTTATAATCCTAAGTATGCAGATGATATTAGTAATATGGTCATTAAAATTCTTTAATAATAATTATAAATAGGTTAATACAGATGATAGTAAAAAATATTTTTAATTTATCTTAAGTTCTGTGTGTGACAATAAGGTAATTTTTTTATTGTTGCTTCGAAAGTTTCTCTTGTATGCTGAGATGTAATTTTATTGGAGTTAATTAGAGTTAAAAATATGAATTTATAGACATAGCTGTTAAAAACTGAGATATTATGTCGCCAATATAGTGTTTAAAAATGTTTTCACTCGGAAGTTCGTCGCCAAGACGTTGAAGTGCATTAATCAATCTATGCAATGTATCGTGGAAGTAGGAAAATATGATGATAAAAGTAAATGATCTGAAAAATTTTAAGAAAATAAAATATTTCAGTTAACTTGCAGTCACCGCATCTATGTTTTAGTAATGAAATAATGTAAAAATGCAATTTAATTCTTTAGTTTTGTCATGCCTGTATATAGTTGACTTAATAATTATCTATAATTAGTAACTTTCGATTTATTTAAGAAACATTATGGCTAAATGAGATTTTTATTTATAATATCTAAATGCTCTTCCATTGAATTGTAACATTTCTATGAACAAGAGCATATTCATCGCGACTTGGAGCGTGAGGTATAAAGATTTTCTCTGCGTCACGAATCACCCACATCAATGAGACATCGAATTTTCTTAGTTCATTCGCGAGGCTGTAACGATTAAGTACACTATTTCTAATTCAAATATTTAATTTAATTTAGCTGCTCTTTTATTTTTCATTTATTTGAATTTAATTTAAATTATTATCTTCTTCTGAGAAATATAAAATGAAAATAAAGATTACTGATTATTGATAATAATCAATAATCTTTATTTTCATTTAGTATTTCTCAAAAAAAAAAAAGTAATATCTAGAATTCTTATTGAGTCTAAATTAAATATTTCATCGGTTGTAAGAACGCTAAGAATTTATGATTTTGTAGAGGATTTGGAATGTATTTTATGCTTGGATTGGATCGTATATCAAGTTGATGTATTTTGTAAATTAAAACTGGTTTTATATTTAACCGTTTTTTTTAAATGAGAAAGTATTCTAATTTCATGCATTTTAAAAACTGATAGGGCTTTATCGAAAGATCAAACAGTCAAATAAAATTTTTTCTCGAAAATATTATGTGGTATTTCGAAATAAGCATT